CTCGGTTTGAACTGCAGCAGATCGTCTTGACCATGTCTACATGCCTAAATGCATTGAGTTGCTGCCATGTGATTGGCTGATTAGAAATTTGCGTTAACGAGCAGTTGGACAGTTGTACCTAATAAAGTGGCCGGTGAGTGTATAAGAATGTAAATATTATTTTTACAGTTAAATCTCATTCCAAGAGGATTAATAGGAATGTTTGTTTGGACAAACTATATCACCCTTCACCATTATGTCCAGGCCAATAACATATTAAATATTTAACTAAATGCTTTTACAGCTTTCCATCTGTAAATAAAAACTTTCGATTCAGATGATACATTCACGTAAAAAAATTGTTTTCAGAGCAGAGAATCTGATATGATACTGTCCTTATAGTAAAAACAGCCATAAAGGACAGCACAAGAATCCTTGAATATCTGAATAGAGTTGTGACAGCAATGTGCAGCTCTCCATCAAGTCAACTGTGCCTTACAGAAGGAGCTAAAAAATGCTACCTTCCATGGTGGAGATGAATTCTTTCTCTCCATCGCTGTTGGTGGACAGAACTCTGTAGAACCTCTTCAGTTTGGCATTTCGGGTGTAGTTCTGTAAGTTCAGACACAAATTTAGCGTCGACTTAAATGTGTTGGTAGTTTCAGGTGACAAGTGAAAAGCAGAAATCTAAGGGTACCGTCTTTCAGGTGAATCCAGAATAACCACACTTCTCGATATCCACTGAACACCACACAATGAGGAAAAAAGTATCTCTAGTAATAGTTGGAATGCATGTGTTTGTTCCTACATATTATCCACACTCAGTGCCTTTTTAACTTATTTCCATCGTAACAACAGGTTTGTTTTCTTTAGCAGCAGAAGGATTCACATTTCAAATCAATTGTGTAATTGAGAGACAGAAAACAGAAATGTAACAAAATGTCATATTAACATCATGTCGCTTTTTATCCCTCCCTGACCACAAGTGCATGATGTCCAAGTAGAAAGGCATTGGTTGTGTAAACCAAAGTACATGGGTTCAAGTCCCAACCATGCCTCTAAAGCTCATGTCATCCAGATTTACCTCGATGAAAGCATGTGTGGTAAAACATTTTACAGATGAGTTTGGAATAAGTGAATTCAGACTTTACGAACCTGTTTAAAATATTGGAAGCCTTTGAGTTTTAGCCTCACGGGCAGTGCATTAAACAGTTAGGGGCTGGTTGACTGAGATGCATTTACAATTAACAAAATTAAAGGTCTGCAGCTATTATAGGAGGGGAATAATCTATCAGAGGGGGATAAGAAAAAGAGGAAAAAAAGAGCAATAAATACCTGGATGGAAAGACTCCAGCTGTGGAAGTTGGAAGTGATGTTTTCGTTAGCCAGAGACTGCAGCACATCCTTGGGAAAATTCCTGAACAAGCGACTGGACTGGGCTGCTGCAGGACAAAGACAGAGGAAGAAATGTTCAGACAAACAGAGAAAAACTAACAACAGAGTTTTTTAATATAACAGAACTGTTGCAACTCTAACCAGTAACCAATCGCAACAAGTACGATGCATATCAGCAAAGCTTTAATTAGATCCAATAATACAGAATCTTATGAACTTGAGACAAGGGAAAGAGAGGTTACTAGCTTCTTTTTAAAGAAAGTTATGCAGAGCCTGTGCCACAATTCGATTAATCTGTAGAATTGATGGTTAACTGAAAAAAGAAAAAAACCTCACAATGTTTCAGAGTAACAAAGCCAAAAGTTAAAACTGATCTCTAATTCGATGGAGCAAGCTGTACCTGACTGTGCCTGCAAGAACACAACTTTAGATGGATTGGATTTAGTTCTGATTAAATTTTCAATAAAACCAATATCAAAATAAAAAAAAAAACTGCACTTATTGACTTATAGTGCTATCTAAAAATATTCATATTTTTTGAACTTCTTCACACTTCATCAATCAACTTACAACTGCAAACATCAGTGTATTTAAATGTCATTTTATATGATAGACCACTACAAAGTAGTCCATAATATTAGTGAAGGGAAATTCTTTATAACAAAAATTTTAAAAGTAAGTATTTATCTGTATTTATACCCTGGAGTCATTACTTTGCTGAAGCACCTTTAGCTGCACCTGTTTTGAAACAGAGGTCTCTAACAGCTTGATGAAATCAGAAAACTGCCATTCTTCTTTGTAAAATAGTTAAGGGACAGTCAGATTTGAGGGACAGGGTCTGTGAACAGATGTTTTCAAGTATAGCTACAGATTCTAAGTTGGATTGAAATCTGGATTTCAACTGTACATGAATATGCTTTGATTTAAGACAAGCCCCACAGCATGACAGTGCGACCACTAGGTTTTTAAGAAACTGTTTGTGACTATGTAGCAGCAATGGACATGATACAACATGTAAATACTATCAGACCAGCACTTCATTGTATAGCGCAAATCCTTGCTTTCCAAATAGTTCCCCTAAATATGTCCCTGTGGCACAACATAATTGCGCCACCACTGTTTTTAAGAAACTGTTTCTGATTGTAATATGTAAAGGACATGATCCCGCACATTAATAGCAACATCCAGTTCTTCATTGTATGATGCCTGTGGACCTTTACTACATGCAAGGATTTGCATGTAGTAAAGGTCCCCAAAACATGTTTCTCATAAGATGTTATAGATGAAAAAAAAAGATATTCATTATATCAAGTTATGGAGAGGATGAAGAGGTGTGGTTATCTGTGTCAGTTGGTCAGACGATGTATTAGAGGACTCGGTTCTAGACTGCTGTTGGAGCAAATTAGAACTGGTTTTAAATCAGGGCCGAACTTTGATCTGATGATTTTTTTCCATGATCACAGAGTTACCACAGAGCTTCATCAATAAGACACTTTAAAATTATTTTGGAATTTCTAGAGGAAAATGGCGATTACACATAGAGCAGATTATATTGTCTGTCTCATATTTCCTGATAAGTGCTTTCTTGATACTTTCAGTCTGGATTCATAAACGCTGTGGTAAACAGGATCTGATGTGTGTGAACCCTCTCTGCATGCTGATCAGTGGGTTAATGAAAAGCATTGGGAAAATAGGATCCATAGCTGCTGCACTGAGCGGCTGGTGGTTATGAAACATTTTATGTTCAAAGTATACATGTAATACATCCTGAACTTTATGTTAGAAACTGCCAATATAAGAAAAACTTGATGTGGCTTTGTCTTTTATATTATGCCCCTTTTCCACTGGCTCTATTTAGCCTGGTTCCACTTCACTTGGCCCGCTTTGCGAGCACTTCCATTACAGTTTTTTTCCGTACTGGTTCCTAATTTTTGGTCCCTGCTCAGGGCCGGTTCTAGGCATGCATATATGAGGGGTTAGGCAGAAGTGTGAAGGGGGCATCATCATGCATACACATGCACATGCACATGTTTATAGTTGTTGTTAATTTTGTGTTTTCTTTATGGGATTGGGGTAAACTGTGTAGTACTGTGCAATTTGCCAGACTACACTGGTTTCCTCTCAGTTGGGCTTCTTTTGAACATGTTGGGCTGGAAAAAAATAGCTTTGGGCGGGTTGTTAAAATTTGGGCTGCTTTTCACAATATTTGGAATGTTTTTAGTGATTATTCATATCAAAATAGTTGTCAGTGGTGGCAGAAAAGTAAAAACCTGCACATCTGAAAATCTTGTGTCCTTTTACTCATTAATAAGTAATTTATTTAGAAAAAGAGAATCTGTTGAACATGATATCAGTCAGTGATGGTCATTGGTTAAACAACCGTCACTGTGAAATTATATTGGTCAATTGTAAAAGCCCAAAACGCTGTTAAGAGGTCATCTAAAATACACAGAGGTGTAGCCTTTACTTTGTTAAGCTTTGACTTGATGTTGAGAAGCAGCATCATGCTGAAGAGGAAAATACAAAATATATCCAGAAAGCTAAAACCAGACCAGAACATGCACATACAATTTTGGAGGCAGGTGTTTAGGCCAAAAAAAGGGCATCCATTGCCAAATTTATTTGTAAAATTAAAATACAAAAACATGATATATTTATGCTTTTATAGCCTCCCTTTTCTTGGAATTATGCTGCAAAATTTGTAAATGAAATAAATCAATGTTCTGCTATGCATCGTATTCAATAGAGACTCATTGAATCAGGTGAGAAAACAGTGTACATTATTTGTTTTCTGAAAGAGTTGAAAGATGACACTAATAATAACTAATAAACTATTACCAATATCTATATAACTCACCACACTTTCATGTAGCTCAACTTAAGACCTGCCTTTCATTTCAAATCACAAACCTACTTTTGGTAGTTAATGTTAGCATTGGCTCTATTATTGTGCTAATAAAATCAAACAGACATCTAAGTAACATTTTCTTATTTATTCATAATTTTTTGTTTGCTGCTTTCTACCATAGAACAATATATTCAGCCTTCGGCATATATTAGCCTGTAATGATAACTACCTAGCAAAATGATTCCTCAACTGTTGGAGTAGAAATGCTTGCATGAAAAGAGCTCCTTGAGTTAAAGTGACTTTTACCTACACAGAACAGAGTTTGGCCACCATGCTGTAATTATACAATACTGTATGTTTGTTTTTTTATTATCAACACTTTATTGTAAGAGTTAGGTATTGCTACTAGACATTCAGAAAAACGGTTGTGGTCATGCATTTTCTGTTTTTCCTCAGACTTTACCATCAAAGTAATTAAGTGAAATGAGTAAAATGGTCTAATTTGTCTGTTTGGTTGTATATCTCCCTCTCTGTCTCCTCATTAAACCTGACAAACATCAGTCAACAGCTGGATTTTATGAGCACAAAACAGGTAGGCAACACGTTAAGGAGCCATGATTGGATGCTGATTGGAAGAAAATGCAAGGGTTTTTCAGCAGGTGTGGCGCCAAAATGCCACCCTCTCCGACCCTTTCTCTAAAGAAACTTCGGCCAGAAGCCAGGTAATGTTTTCAGCAGCACTATAATGTTGAGCAGGTACGACCGGGGCTGAATAGGGACTACATGTGAAGTGAACCAACTGCTGTTCACTGATTAGCTACGGGACCAGGAGAATGAGAAGGTATTCGAAGAGTTAGTGCAGGGAATAGTTAATAAAACTCAAGAGCGACTACAATAATATTAAGGACCCCAATGGCTGGAGCGAGTCAAACCAAAAACTAGTTTTGCTAAAAAAAAAAGTAATAAAATTAGTTTAGTTGTGATCAAATCAGTTCAATCAATTGTAAAAGAAAAGTCCTTGGTAAACATGTGGAAATGTGTTCCCTAGTTCTTAATATATCTGCCTAATATTCATGTTAAAGTTAATGATTTTCAAAGTTGGTGATCTCTAGATTTTAGTTTAAAGAACATTTAAAGAATTGAATGCTACAATTCCTGTAAAAGCCAGGACCCAAACATAACACAGCAGCCTTATGATATAAACTTTGTGTGCATGGAATAATAAATAAGACAATATTTCTACCTGGTGTGAGAATGAGTGGCAAAGCCACGGCCTTGGTTTTGGTCAAAGTGAGCAGGTTTTTTCTGGCCGTGAGGACGGAGAGTTGCTGGAAGCCCTGGCATGTTCCCCAGATAGGGAAGTAATCCCCTGCATCATTAGCCTAAAGAGGGTCAGAAAGTAAGGAATTAACAGGTAATAGTAAAAGAAGTATAATAAATTTTCTTTCGGTTCTATCCTGCAGCTAAGCAAGGATCACATTTCAGAGAATATCCAGAGGAGTTACTGAGCTCGGCAGTCTCGTCTGTAAGTCAGAGGTCATACCTTCAAAGCCAAGTTGTAAAAGATCCTGGCAACTCGACTGAACTGAGATGTCTGAATGTCTACATTTCCCCCTGGTAACAGCAACCTGAATGAAAAGAAACTTCATAAATACAGCCTAAATGCTGAGATTTAAACAAAATAAATGACTAAAAACCATAGTGTAATCATGAGTATTTGTTATTTATTTATTCATTTAGCCAGCATGGTTTGACACTAGTGCTGTACAAATAATCAGTCCCTCTTGTAATAATTTAATTCAAACAGAAGAGAAA